TGTGGCCAAGTATGAAGACAATACACCAAGAAATAAAAAAGTTATGATCCAGGTACAAGTTTTCGGACGGCAACGGCAACGGGAACGGCAACGGCAACGCCGACCTGACTATAACAATACCTCTACTTTTTTTTTCAAAAAAAAAAAGTCGAGCTAAAAATGATTAACATTTTCATTATACTATTGTTCATGCATTCAGCCCACATGAAAAGTTATCCAGAAATATTGAATTCTAGATAAGAAATGAGTTTAAATATTAAATGGGAGTATTTTGGTCATTTTAAACCAAAAAGTTCTGGATGTAACAAAAATTCCTGGACAGTGAATTTCTGGCCATATGTCTAATTTTTTGTGATACACATTTGGTGAAGAAAGACTAAAAACAAAACAACAAAAAATACAATTTAAAAAAAAGATAGATCTGTCAGTAGTCTCAGTGTTTTTTTCCTTATATAACTGCTACCGGAAAACAGCACCATTACCAAAAGATAATAGACAGCAAATTTCCCAATTCATGACTGATAAATTCCCAAAGTAACACTGAAAAAAAAAAAAAAAAAAAAAAAAATTATAAATTCCCAAAGTAACACTGAAAAAAAAAAAGAAAAAAATTATATGTGATTAAAACCAAGTTTAACTGCATGAGTGATATTTGTACCCAGTTTAAAAATTTTGTACTTTTAGTGTTTCATACCTAAACATTATTTATGTACAATTATTTTGATAATCAATTTTTTTTTTTCAACCTCAAGAAGCAAAAATAATCATTAAGTCAATAATACATGGTTTTAAAGTGTTTACTATGCATAATTTTCATGCCTGGATAAAAGAAATTCCCAAAGAATATTTTGTATGTTATGTAAAATTCCCAATTTGAGTCAAACCGATGGATTTTTTTCCCCAATCTGACCGGTACTGGCACCATTCCCAAATTAGAGGGAAAAAAACACTGAGTCTCATGCAATGCTTGATAGTGATTATGTAATAACTAGATCATGCCAGCCCATTGAGTAAACTTTACCATGTTACTAAGATTTTAGACACTGAATCAGGAATAGTTCCTGTCTGACTGCCCTCAGATTTGTGTATCATAATCTGAGTAAACAAATATGAATATTGATTTCTCACTTTTTAACTAGAAATGTGTGTCCAAAGGACAGTCTGTGGCCGAGTGGTTAAGGTTGTTGACTTCAAACCACTTGCCCCTAACCGTTGTGGGTTCGAATCCCGACAGGGACTTTGGATTCCTTTATGAGAGGAAGCTATCCAGCTAGCTTACGGAACGTCGGTGGTTCTACTCAGTTACCCGTTTATGCCTGAAATAATGCACAGACGGCACCTGAGGTCTTCCTCCACCAGTAAAGCTGGAATGTCGCGATATGACCTATACTATGTCGATGTGACGTAAAACCCAAAAGAAACAAACAAAGGACACTAATATCCCCAGGCTTCTCTGTCTCAGTATATATATATATATATATATATATATATATAAGCCTAGGGCATTGTTGCTTCGGGCAAAATGATGCTTAAGACAAGCTTTATAGTTTTATATAAATCTATGCAAATCACTTGGGGATGTATAAATGTACTTACCCAGGGTTGAGCACCGGTTTCCATCTTTATACATGGGAACTTACTATAAATTCTTTCGCCAATTACTTGGTATTGGTGGCTGTCAATTAGTTTGTCAAAATAAAAGTTTGCTGTTTCAGTGACTAATTTGTTCCATATTAGCTCAACATTTCCCTCAATCAAATGTGTTGTAACTAATGAAGAAAACTGTGGTAATTGTAAATCAGCAGCTTCTGAAACGCAAAAACAAATGAGACAAGATGACTACATTGCACATCGCAATGCTTACAATGCAGTTATCGATAATAAAAGTAGACCAGTTGTTCGTAAACTATAATTATTCATTACCTATGACCATTAATGTTAATCACTTATTCAAAGAAAATGAATGTTACTTTACACGAAGTAAATAATCCAGATGATCAATTAACTTACTTTTTGGAACTGTAAGGCTGTTTATACCAAGATTTTCTTTGTTTTCTGTCTTTTCCAGTAGCAGGTCAGAATTTGGTTGTTCTATTGTTGGCATTGGCAATTCAAGGCTGACACTCCATAATTCACCAGGTTCTTATAGCATTAACATGTCTTTCTTGAACTCATTTAGAACCTCATCATCCTCTATTTCTGTCCCATCTGATTCCAAAACAACTGTGCATGTGTGTGGATCAGTTGTGATCTCTAGTTTTTTTGAAGCTATAATTTCAAAATGGATCTGTTATTTCTTTTATATACTAGCTACCTTGACCATATATAGGCCCCCAGGGTGGGGCCAGTTTAAACCCCAGGGCTTTTATTTGAACAAACTTGGTAGACACCCATTAGAAGATGTTTTATGCTAAACATCTAACGTCTAGCTCGTTGAGTTTTTTTTTAAAACATTTTTTAAGTTTTGACTATACACATAATAATTATAGTTAAAAGCAATGACACCCCTGGGCGGGACCAATTTTGACCCAAGGGCTTTTATTTGATCAAACTTTGTAGACACTTACTAGAAGATGTTTCATGCTTAATTAATAATATCTAAACTCTAGCTATTTGGGTTTTTTCAAAGAAGATTTTTAAGTTTTTGCTATACACATAAAAGGAAAATCAATGTCCCCCAGGACATTGTGTGTAAAATGTGCATAATAATAAAATATTATAAACAACTGATCCCTAATTAAATCCAGGCAGATAATTATGTTGAGGGGCTTTAAATACTAGTCAAGGATAACCTTTGATAAACATTCGTACTTACCATAACATTTTAAGTTGGTTAAGTTTTCTGCAATTAAGCTCTTCTTTAGAGAGCGGTCTTTGTTCGTTACTTTGAATACCGGCATCTCAAGTGGCTCTATACAGGCTATAGAATGATCAGCCTCTGTGTATAACTGTAATGATTTTCTGAAAAATAGTTTATAATAAGATACTATGCACTCATAAAACAAAAGTCTATTCAATAACATCTTGAGGCTCTTTCACAGTCAAAGGGAATTTTCATTTCAAAGAAATAGTTGAAAATTGATTTATATATCTTTACATGCAAAAAATACTATCTGGATATTATATTTATGTATTATGATGTTAAATCAATGTACACTGTATGTAATTGTAGCAAGAACTATCAATTATCTTATGCAATTTAGCAGTTTTCTTGCATATGAAACACTGGGTTATCTACTGTCTACACCAGTGCTAGAAAAACCTGTCTTACAACACCAATGTAAGACAAGTCGACTGTTTTAAATGACGTCATTCAAACCCACCTTTTATGAATGAATTGCATTCTTAATATGACATCATTTTGCCGTTATGAAGTTCTAAATTCATACGTTACTAAAAGAAAAAAGTTAAAAATGAAAGTACTATAGTTATTATAATTTCTTTTCAAAATACCATTAATTTGTAACATGCAAGAAAAAACTATCAAACACCGGCTGTCGGTACAGACCGGAATATCTAGCTCTTGGGGTAACTGTTAAGCGGTTACTGGGCAGAGCCTCGTTACCGCCATAAACAGTTACCCTCAAGCCAGAAATTTTGGTACGTACCGGCAGCCAGTGTATGATCCTTTATAGTATTGAGGGGTGATTAATCAGTGTTTTTGGCAATTTATATAATTTGACTGTATGAATGTTTAAGTGTTTTATGTAATGTGTAGGAAGTAAGAATTTATCCAAGTAATGATGCTGAACATGGTACTTTTAGAGAAGTTTTTTTTTTTTAAGGGTCTCAGTAACTCAGCCTAAAAATATTCAAACAGAAAACCTGTTAAGTATTCATGAGGGCTTGGGGTACCAAACAATCCTGTCAAATTACATACAACTTGTTTAGTATTACAAGTAGTCGGGACAAAATATAAATCCATTATATTCCATTCATACAAAGTCATTCTGACACACTCAACTTTTTCTGTTTGTAAAGTTAAATACATCAATGGAAAAATATCATAGTTATTGTTAAAGAGTCCTCCTAGAATTTTTATTTTTTTTTGTTAAGGATTAAGTTCAAATTCCATACTTGATTTGACAGTGAAGGTCCTTCAAAGGTCAAGGTAACATTAGAATTAAACATTGCTAAAGGTCCTTCAAAGGTCAAGGTAACATTAGAATTAAACATTGCTAAAGTATTTCATACTATGAAATAATGACCCAGTCAGGGAACACTGTACAGCATATTGGTTAACTTAAAAACAAGAAACAATTGATGTATCTTGCCGTCAGTAAGAATTTTGGAAAGAGAAAAAAAAAAATCACTGACACATAATGTCTCAGAAACAAATTATTTTCACTTCTTTCCAAAAGGCAAACATGAATTTTATAATGTTTAAATAATAATAATGGTTTTGAAAAAAAAAATTAGATGCTTGTTGTCACCTGAAGAAAGTAGCGAAGAATGTAAAAGAGTAGCAAACTGTAAACAAAGTATTATTTTGACTTTTAATCTAAAAAACAACAGGTGAAAAATATTGTCCAGGTAATTTGTCAATGAGTACCATTTTGGATATTATTATAATATATTTAATAAATCTAACCAATCATCCAATATGAATTTTTAAGCAACTTTATTTCAGTATTGTACAGTTAAATGTATAATAAGCTATAACTATAAAAGTACACCAACATTATTTAACAAGTTTTTGGAAAAAATATAATACAGCTTTTCCGAGGCATAATGGGCCTTTAATGAATTATTTAATTACTAAAGTTGTCAGAACCTCTGCAAAAACACTTGTCATATTGAATAATTCTAAGGTTCTAAGGAGTGAAATTAAATAAATAAAACTTTGCAACGCCCCCGCTTATTAAAGTGTTTTTGCCCCGCAACCCCACGAAACGGAAAGTTGAGAATAAACAAAATAAAAATGGCGGGGCTTGAAGCAAAAACACACTAATTAGCAGGGAGCCCCCATAGTTTTGAATGAATAACAACTTATTGCTTGTTTAAAATATTTCACAAGTATGACTGTTTCTGTTCATTACTACAAGCATTCCCTCATACCTGTATAGACTTAAAGGCCATTTAAATTTGAGAGCATTAAATGGTCTAATCTTCAAAATTCCAGTTTGATACAAAGTGTAATGGAGAATGTGCTGATTGAAAAAAGCTGGGGACTGTGTTTGTTCAAGAACAAAAAATTTTTCTTTCTTGACTATGACAATATCTCTTAGAATACCAAACTCTGGAGTATCATCAATGTAATCAGTAACTATGCAACAACCAACTTGATACTGTAATCCATGAATAGTAACAGAATTTGTCCTGTACAATATACATTGTTCCTCTGCATTTATTGAACAGAGATAATTCAATTCTTCTCTCATTTCAGGATACTTGGATGCAAAATCAAACTCTTCACCATCTGCAACTACATCTCCATCATACAAGAAATTGTTTGATCTTTCACTAAGTGAACCAGACTGTTGCAAACACATGTAGAGTTGATGATGTTTACTAAGTGAATAGGGAATATTCTTGAAATTTTTAAGTTTTTTGTTTTTGAAGAAGCCATGCTTTCCCTCAAAACGCATACACCAGTGATGTCGCAATGGTCCAAACAACAACATTTGCCTAGGGAAATGAGTTGCAAAATGTTTTTTGGGAATGAATGAAGATTTTGGATACAATTCTTTGCTTGTTGATAGGTAAATGCCAAGAATAACCCGTAAAATTGTTGGAGTTTCTCTATGGCAATATGAACTAGTACACAATAGAAGGACTTGAGTAAGCCTAAGAAAGTTCATCCAGTGTTGGTCATTTTCTGGAACTTTAGGTCCAAGAATAAGCGGCAATATCTGACACAGAGTAAGCATTGATGAAGAAGACTGTTTTACAGTGGTGCTCTCATCTAAACTTGATTTAGAAAATGTAGTCTCAGGCTTACAACTTGCATGTAAGTAAGAATAAGGAAATGCTTTAAGCTTGCTGTTGAGCCACTGTAGTGTTATCAACTTTTTTGTGTGGACAAGGTAGTAAAGAAGACAAGATAGGTCACCCGGAACTATACCCTCAAGTAAAATGTGCATGGGATCTTGAACAAGGCAAGTAGTAATGGAAAAGTTGGACAAATCTAATAGACAACTACTTCCATTTATCCCCCACATTTTACTCCAATACTTTCGGGCACCTGCGGACAATGATAAGAGTGCTGTGCATCTACCTTTATGACTTTCATCTGTTCGTAATTGTAAATTATGGTCTACAAGCCTGTTTTTAACATCTACTGCAGCTATTTCACACATTCGGCAATTTTTAAAAGCAAAGCCAACACCTTCTTTAAACTGACCTAGCCAGTTAGAAGCTAGTGTGTCTGCTGGAACAAGCACTAATGCGCCACAAACCTTTTGAAAAACACCTTCAACTTTCATGTATATGCCCTCAGCAGACATCCTATTTACTACAGAAATGAAATCTTTGAGGAGAAGATTTAATCCATTTTTTTCCCTGACATCAGATGTCTTTGCAATGGCTAACAACTGTATTGATGAAAGTTTTGACCTGTATTGAGGTGGAATGTTTGCTAGATGGTAATAAAAGAGTGTTAATTTATGTTTCTTGGTGTGGGTACCCAGTGGATTAACAATTTCAAGGTCATCAGTATTCAGAACTATCTGTAACGCTGATTTTGTTGAAAAAGTGAATTACTGCGTACATATTCACCATCACTGATGTCATGCATGAATTCATCATCAGAAAAGTGTGGATTTTGAATAAAATGCCACACTTCAGATAGATTAAGCATGTTACAAACAGACTTCTGAAAGGGCACATAATACCCACATTTTTCTTTCTCAGTTATTACACCAGCTCTTTTGGTGAAGTAAGTTCCTAGAATAATTTGTTCAGGTTTAACATAACCCAAGCGATCATGTGATGAATAGAATTTATGCCGCTTTGCAGCTGTATCCAGGTCATGTAACATGTCATCAATGACAATGTCTTCAAGAAAATCTGAAGAAATATTCTTGCTTGCCAGTTTTTGTGCAATTTTTTGCTTTACATACTTTGTATTATTTTCAAGTAACAATTTGGTTGAGGAAATTACATTGTCAATTGCAGAATCTGCCATATTATGGCTAACTTGCATTGAAAGAGTAATCAGTATATAAAGCATTTTGATATTTCAGTTCTTCTGAACTGCTAAATGAACTCTGAATATTTGTATCAGGAAAGTAATTGTTTTGTGAAAGGCTACTGCCAATATCAGTTGATGGAGATAATTCAATGCTTGGGTGCTTTCTAGATAAATGGGAACGAAATGTATTCCATTTGCCAGTTGTAAATGAGCAGGCACCTATGCAGCATGTTACTGAAAAATTTGGATCATTTTTATGGTTCCGTACAGTATGATTGCGAAAAGTGTTGAAAGAATGACCAATAAAACAACACATGTTGCAGGGAAATTCTGACTCTACTTCCATGATTTTTAATTTTTTTTTTATTCATTATGGCTTAACAAAAATGCATATTTGTGAAATATTTTGATTAAAATGCCTGGATGCCATTTTGCAACATACAATATCGTCATTCCCCCTAACTTCGTGACTACCGGAAGTTCGTGACTTTTTTGTAAACCAATCCAGTGAAATCACGCGCGCACCTGCGAGATGTAAACAACTGTATGTAACTAGGTCATGTCGTCACAAATGTCATCGTGATATTTATATGCCAAAATGCGCTTTAAACAGGTAAAAACCAACCTTTATACACATACCAGTAGTAAAAATGTATTTTCTGTTATTCCCAAAAATGTCCTCTCTTAAAAAGTATTTTTTTCCATGAAAAATAACATTTCAAGTTTTAAAAAGTTATCCGTCTGCTGTATTTACATTTTAGATTTGACAGCCTCGTTTTGAAAAAATGTTTACTCTAAGGCTAACTAAAAAAATATTGATCAATTGTACCCCATGTCTCTTATCAACAAGCAGAAAAATTAAGTGTTTTTTTCTTGTTGTTGTAGGCAAAGCCTGTGCATTTGAAGGCCAAGTACAGATCATATTCACCCTCAGCCTTGCAAAATGCATACAAGTCTGTTGTTGAAAGTGGAACACCTGTTCTCAGGGCTAGTAAATTATTTGGGGTGCCTCAACAAACTTTAAGAGACAGGGTGTTAGGAAAGATAGACCCTGAATGTATCACTACTGGAAGAGAACCTGTTTTGAATATGTTTGAAGAGGCCAAAATTGTACAGCATATTAAAACTATGGCTAATTATGGTTATGGTTACACCATGCAAGAGTGTGTAGACATTGCAACTGAGTATGCAGTTAGTGTTGGTAAAAGAACCAGAGACAATCCATTGACATTAAGGTGGATGGATGGATTTCGTAAACGTTGGCCGGAAGTGAAAGTTTCAAATCCCAGAAGTATTGAACATGTTAGAGCTAAAATGACAAGTGAAGCAACAGTCAATGCTTACTTCAGTAATTTACTTATTACTCTCACAAAGAATGATTTACTTGACAAACCACATAGAATATTTAATGTGGATGAGAAGGGAATTTCACTTAATCATAAGCCCCCTCACATTGTTTCATGTTCTACTGGTCCACCTGCTGTGACTACTGGGAAAAGTAAAACTATAACTATTTTAGGTTGTGGTAGTGCTGGTGGTATTGCTATTCCACCGTATTTTGTTTTTCCGGGTAAGCGTATGCTCCCAGAGTTACTAGAAGGTTCTTCTCCAGGTGCAAGTGGGACTGTAAGTGATTCAGGTTGGTCTAACAGTGCAATATTTAGGACTTACCTTGAGGAGCATTTTATCAAGTACTTACCTGGTGGTACTGCAGAGCCTGTTTTACTTCTCCTTGATGGCCACAAGTCTCATGTCTCTGTAGACTTGGTAGAATGGGCTAAGAGTCAAAATATTATAATATTTGTTCTTCAAGCCCACACCTCACATATCTTACAGCCCCTAGATGTAGCTGTTTTTGGTCCATTCCAGAAGATATATAACAATGAGTGTCATAAGTTCATGCGCATGAATTCTACCAATATCACAAGGTACAATGTCTGTCAACTGGCATGTAGGGCTTATACAAAATCACTTTCCAGTGAAAATCTTCAGTCAGCTTTCAAGAAGACTGGAATATGTCCATTTGACAAATTTGCTATACCTCAGGAGAGTCTTGTTCCAGCAGTAGTATTTCAAGATATTGATATGGCTGAATGTACTGATGCAGATAGTCAGGCTACTGTTGAAGGGGGTATTGTAGTGGATAAGGATGCATCTGGGGATTTTTTATTGGAAAGGGAGATGACTTTGAGGAAGGTGAAGAGTGAGAAACCAAAGCAAAAGGTTAGGAATACCATGAGTAGAATTGTCTCAGGGAAGGATCTATCAGCTAAGTCTGTTCTTGACTCTATGAAACAACATGAAATAAATCAGAAAGGTCATAAAAAATCAACTTCAAAAAAGGGAAGTAAATCATTCAAAATTAAAAAAAGTGTCATGCATGCTCAGATGGATAATGAACCTCAGCCTGGCCCTTCCCATATAACAGTAAATGCTAGTATATCTTCAGACTCTGATACAGAAACAATTATTGACAGTGAAGTCTGCTGTGTTTGTAGTAACTTTGAGCCTGTTGGCCTGGCTAAAAAGAAATCTGTAACATTTGTACAGTGGGCACAGTGTGATGGTATCAAAAACCATGTCCCATGTAAGCACTGGACTCATCTGGGATTCTGTACCAATAAAAAAAGTGTTGATAAAACAGAAAAATTCTTCTGTCCTCACTGCTCTTCTAGACATGAAGAGTAATTGACTGAAACACACAATAAAATAAATATAGTTAACAAGTTTTGACAGTTACTGTTATTTAGTTAAATTTATTAACTGTTGTAATTTTTTAACAAACTCACTGAAAAACACTGAATTAGTGTACTGTGGCCTATCAAGGGAGACTACTCTACATGTCACGAAGTTAGGGGGAAAATTTGAATTCAATATGGCGGATGATGACCTACTTTAAAATGAAATTGAATATGTTTTGAAAAATGCTGCTTGTTAATAATTGGACTTGATGGAAGAAAATACATTATTTTAACAGGTTAGTGTACAAGTTTGGTTATATATCTGTTATTTATTTATTTATTTCTTGTTATGCGCTTATGGTCACGAACTTCCGGTGGGCTAGGATATGTTTAAATTTATAAACAGAAGCATGCCTATTTTGAATCAAGAATTTCTGGCAAAAATATGAAATTTAGAAATATTATGAAATGGGAATTGTAAAGATATTTGTCAATCAATTGCAGCAGCACAACTGCTATGTAAAAAAAAAAATAAAGTTTAAACATCACTTCCAATTTTCCATATCATCATATGTCTAATGTTTCTTTTTTTATATGATATTTAATTAGATTTTATTTATTTCTATATTTATGTGAGCAGTAAGCAAAAAAGGTTACCGTTAAATATAATAAGAGTTTTATCCCAAATCTTGTTACATTCTAATGTTGTCGCACACTTCCACTTGACGTTAGGAAGGGACTGGCAGTGGGTGGGGAAATAGATGTAAAGTTCAGCAAATTCAATGCTTTGAAATAAATCTAATTTCAGAAACTAGAAATTCAAAATCGGTCAAATTCAATTTTTATTTATAATATGAGAACATGTTTGAAATGAAATTCATGTATAGTATCGTGGTTTGCTATGTTTTCGATACGTACAGGTTTTCGATACTTTCACTTTTCTGCGCATGCTCTTTGAACCGGAAGACGAAATACGTCATTTGTTGTTTACAGAACATAACGTACTTGACTTCTTTCGAGCCACCGTGAAACTTTTTAAAAATGCGACAAAAACAAGTAAGTAAACTTTCTTTTTTTATATTGATGATGAAATTTATGTTTTTTGCTATTACTTTTTCATAGTTTTAGATTATTCAGCATTAATGTTATTATAAAATCATCAAAATAAATCCTACTGGTGGGGGAAATCCCCGTTCGTCTGCTCTTCAAAGTCACGTGACTGTCATGTGACCATGACGTCAAATTTTTGCTACAGGGTGTTTTCAAAAATTCCTTTACTGTATATCTTTTTTAATAAAAAAGTGCCTGATCTCATATGAAATAAATTATTGATTATCAATTTATTGTTTTTCTCTCCACAATACTGAGATCTGCAATATTAAATCAGTTTTTTTTCTTCTCTTTCAGGTAAATCCTACTTCTTCTGCCTCAAAGTATAGGATGTACTCACCTACAGCCATGAAAAATGCTTATCAAGCAGTAAAAGAAATGAAGATGCCAATTAAGAGTGCTGCACGGCAATTTGGTATTCCCCAGACAACCTTGCATGATAGAGTCCTTGGTAGAATTGATCCTGAAACAACATCGTCAGGACCCCAGTCACTTTTAAGTCAATATGAAGAGGCCATATTTG